ATGAGGGGGAAAAGCCAGAAGGAAATGAAGCCCATCACAGGTACAAATATTTTCAAAGAACAACTAAGTCTCCACACCTGGACAAAAGCCATCCTGAGAGATTTGGCAGATGGTAAATGGAGCAAGGCAAAAAGACTAGACTGGAAATGAAATTCCTATTTTAAAAAAAGAAAAGGGTAGATTATACAGCTACAGGTTGGTAAATAATGTTGATTCCAAGTAAGATTAGACTGAATTAGTTAAAAGGCAATTTGTAATATTAGAAATGGTGATCTTTAGACGTAAACATGGATTCACTAGGAAAAGACATTGCAAACTAAATCCAGTTCCTTTTTCAGATGGGATAATGAGAATGGGAGGGCAAAGAAATGGTTCACCTAGATTTCAGGAAAACATAAATAGCTAATGGTAGTCAAGCGGTGGAGAAGGATTAGAGAGACCACTTAGGTATCGTGTTATGCGCTCAGTGGATTGATATTCACCTTAAGGCAGGATTAGAGTGACTTGATATAAGGTTTTGCCCTTGCCCTCTGCTGTTTGTTATTTTTATCAAAAAAGTTATAGAATTAATGATTTTGAATTTTTCAATGCCATTGAGTCAAAATAGTCAATTGTGCAAAGCGACAGAATTAGTGTGCAAATATTTTTAAACAGATAGGAATGACAGCTTCAATCGAAGACACAGTTTAATAAATACCAGACCTGATTCCTGTCTCATACACTCTGCTCTGCTCACACAGAGCATACACTCTGTGTGAGAAATAAAGGTGCTGCTCAGTTTTCAATTATAGTTTATCATGAAAGAAATGGTAAATAGCAGCTTGCACGGAGAGCTATTATAAATATCATTGCTAAACTTCAGAGACATGCTGCAAAGAAGGTATTACTCCAATATGGGGTGAGGAAATTGATGCTAAGAAGTCAAATAACTTGCCACAGTTCTCACAAGGAAAGGGAAGAAGCTGAGAATCAAATTAAATTTGTTGGGTCCCCAAATTCATGCTCTTTCCAAGACCATGCACTGCTTCAACATCTAAGTTCATATGGGAGCTGGAATTATCTCATTTATTTCTAACTCCCATATGTGCTATGACGCATTTTCTTTAACATTATCATAATTCTTGACGTTACTTCAAAATGACCCTTCCTTTTATAAAGTGAAGAAAAGTTATCTTTCGATAAGTTGTGTCACTCAATTAGGTTAAAAAAAATTAACCTCCAACATCCATATCTTTCCAATGTGGTCTAGAACAGAGGTTGGCAAACTACAGTCTACAAGTCAAATCCAGCCCACCCCCTGTTATTACTTGGCCCACGAGCTAAGAATGGTACTTACATTTTTAAATGGGTTAAAAAAAAAATCAAAAGAATACTTCATGACACATAAAAACTATATGAAATTCAAATTTCAGTGTTCATAAATAAAATTTTATTGGAACACAGCCATACTCATTCATTTACATATTGTCTATGGCTGCTTTCATGCTACAAAGGCAGAGTTGAATAGTTGTGACAGAGACCATATGTGGTGCTCTCACTGCTTTACACTGCTGTTCAACACACTACAAATCTCAGTGATGCAGTTATAATCTGACAGCATTTCAAGTGCCACACATACTGTCATACAGACATTTTATTATTTTTTATTACTAATGAATATTAATCATGTAAAAAAAAAAGTAAGGTGAACTTTGAGTGTTGCGCTTCTAAGGAACCGCTGAATGTGGATTATTTTGTTATACGATTATATGGCAAAGCATCATGTTTACTATGCAATGACACTTCAGCTGTGTTAAAAGAATACAGTTTATTTTCACATTACCAGACTAAGCCCTCATCACAATATCCCCAACTCACAGAAAAGCAACAGTAAGAACAATTAGAAAACTTTAAAACAGAATATCTCACCACAACAGAATTTATTCAAACACACAAAAAAATGAGAATGAGGGTGCAAGCCACTTACTTTCCAAGTGGCTCATTTGTTAGCCAAGCAAAGAATGCTCTTTATTGATGGTGAGTTGAAGTTAATTGTGTTTGACTGCAGCAGCTAAAAAGTGTGTCCAGAGGAGAAAAACATGTTGAAGACCACTAGCTTTTTAGCAAGGACAGTTGCTTGAAGACATCAATTGCCAACTAAAAGACAAGGCAAAATGATTTGGCTTTTGATGAGTCAATAGATGTTACCAATACTGCCAGCTATTGACTACCAGGGAAGTCAATACTGAGTTTGAAGTGCTCAAGAAGTACCCTCTGTGAATAGTCTCCATGGAACAACTATAAGAAAGAATATTTTTAAAGAACTTGAGAAAACATCAGTGCTAATTAAAGTAGAATCTGCTAAGATGTGAAGTAGCTTAATGGTGGTAAAGACATGTGGAGCAGAAAAAGGTTTACTGGGCAAATTTACAAAGCTTCTGAAAATGTAAAATGTTTAAAGTCAATGTTTATGCTTTATATTATTCATCAGCAGGCATTTTGTGGGAACTATTTGAATATCATGTTAATGAACTAGTAAAGTCAACGGTGAATTTCATTCACTCTTGGCAGTCTTAACTATCATTACTTCCATTTTTATTAGAAACAGAAACTGAATATCCTGACTTGCCCAACTACACAGCAGTTTGATAGAAGTAATAAAGTTTTATTGCAATTTTTTGAGCTCAGGACCAAAAGTGAATTTTTTCTGAATGAGTATCACCCTCACCTATTATTAATGAACACTGAATGGATTTGAAAATTAGCTTTTGCTGCAGATTTGATAATGTTTCTTAATAACTTCAACTTAAAAATTACAAGGCAAAACAGCACTTATATGTGAAATTTATACTGCAGCAAAGTCATTTTGATGACAACTAATGCTGTTTAAATCACAAGTTATGTCAAGCTGCTTTATACACTTCCCATGCTGTCTAGTTAACACAAGCAGCAAGATATCCATTCCCACACAAATTTGCAGTGGATATGTTTTCCAAACTCAGCTGCAGTTCCAGCTACATTTTTGGATCTCAATCCAAGTGCACAGGAAATTTCCATATTACAAAATCCACTTAACTGTATAAATAAGGAGCATCCATCTAAACTTTAAAAGGAAGTAATTAATCTGTGATGTAATGATATGTCAAAGGCAAATATCAAGACCAGAATCTAATGGAATTCTATAAACACCTTCCAAATGGTGAATATGCTCAATTAACATCCACACACTTGCGGACTGATAACAGTATTTGGTAGTATCTATCTGTATGAAGACATTTTCAGAGATGAAATTACGTAAAATCACATTACAGATCAGCATAACAGATGAACATCTGCAATCAATTTCAAACCCCAATTAAGTGAAATATTATCCTCTCCAAATAACTTAATTTTTACCATTAGACCTGTATTACAAAAAATTTGTACTCAAGTGTTCATATATATTTTTAATTTCATCAATAAAAAAGTAGTGGAAATTTGTTTTCTTTCTCATTACACAAGTATATAAAAGCCTCAATTTTGCCTTTTGGCCCATAAATCCTAAACTTTACAAAAAAGTTTGCCAACCCCTAGTCTAGAGCAGTGCAGGAGTGTTCTTCAATTTGAGTAAAATCACAGTATGGTAAACATTGCTGTGAACAACCGTTCTTTCTAAAACCATTTTCATATCCCAGCAGTATTACCTGATAATACTTCTATATGTAGTTCTTTCTTTGGTTACGATCCATGTATTCTTATGAAGTAAATTTCCTAAGAAAATAATATGTGGGTCTGTATTAGAGATGGTCAGAGAAGAAACTAGTTAACCCAAACATCAGCAAAGCTTTATAATTCAATTTATTTCTCTCTAGAAGAAAGGTTAGCTTTTAACTCTACTAATCCAATTCTATCAGAAAAACCTTTAAAACTAAACAAAAGCACATCAAATAGGGTACTTATGACCTCTGTTTTTACCTGAGTCCAAAACATTTTTCAAATGTATTCATCCACTATATTAGTGATTTCCAATAATATATTCACATTAATAAAAAAGTCTCAGTAATAACAATGTTTTCTAATTTAAAACAATTAAGTTTGCCTTTATACTCTATTTTGTTTTTCTCACCATGACTGAAGATATCTAGATTGCCTGCGCAGAATCCATTCACTCTCCTTCTGGTAACAATATCCTCATTTCCTTTTGGGGAACACCCCCTTCTACCTTATTTCTCAGTTCAGTGTGTCCTCTGAAGATGGAAGAACAACATTCCCTGGGTCACAGTAGTTGGCTCGAGGGTGGGCATGTGAACCAATGAAGGAATAAATGTCAGTCTTAGGATTTTGTTGGAACTGTCGAGAGAAACTGTCCTTTGTTTTGGCTGAGATTATGGCAGAAGTCTGAAGCTGCTGGGTGGTCACTTTACCATCACACATGAAGAATCTCCCTGACAATGAAAACAGCAGGGTAGGAAGCAAAACTGAGAGATACAGAGAAAAACAGACTCCTGAACTTTGCACCAGGATCAAGCATGCCTGAAGCTACTCCTATCACTGGACTTTTCAGTTAAATGTAACAATGTGCATGCCTATTGCTGAAGCCATGTTAAGTTTCTGTCACTTGCAAAAGCAACGGGTGCTAATGCAACTATACAGTCATTCAGATTGAACCCTAATCTTAGGTCAGATATTTCTAGACAGGGCCTTTTAACCCATGCTTAACCTGTTATGCTTCATCTCCATATCTTATTCTTTCTGAATGGTGGTGCTTAATGGACACACATGGGCTTAGTGTGTGCTGCTTTGACTTATCTTACCTTTGGCATCTTTCAGTAAGCAGAGCACCTTAAAGCACCTAGCACAATGATGAACTGTGAGATACTGTCACAGATATATGCTCTTTATCTGGAATGATATTAAAGTCATTCACTTAAAATTGGATTTAATAATATTTCATTTCTGTGAACATCATAATATGACTTCATTTTTGAAAAGGAATGAAATGATTCAGCTTGTTTCCCTCGGTTTATTAGTGGCATTAGTTCTAATTAATTGCTCTATTAAGGAGTTCAGAGAAGTATAAAAAAATTTTTTTTAACTTTCATTAAAGAAAGCTTAGATACTTCCAGGTATGTACTCTTTACAACAGGGTTCCAACAAAGCAAAACAAAATCAAAAAACACAAACGAATATTCCTTTAGCTCTGCTTTTCACATTTAGTAAATTAAATAAACTGAATTTTTAAAATTCCTGTCTTCAGTTAGTAAGTGGCATTATTTTACCCATATTAGAGGAAAGGGGAAAGAGCAAGTTTAAAAAAACTACCTTTATTTTTTATTTCTTTTTCAGTTACATACTTTTAAACAGGGATGTGTTTCATTATTCAGACATTCAGGCAATGTTGACTTCATTAGTGTTGACAGAAAAGAAGCATAAAAATGCAAAACATTGTTGGCTTAACCTGAACATACCTGCATTACCTATTATTGACCAGTTTGTGTTGCCAAAAGACTTATTCCTTGGCATTAAAATGGAGCACTTAAAAATATTGCTAAAAAGCAAATGTCTACACACTGGTCTTTGCAGCAAATAAGGGTATTTATAGTTTTAAAATATTTTAAGTCCATAATTGGATTAATATACACACCTTCTTATGTATAAGGAGTTCAGATCATATAAACACTGTACAGTCCAAAAACCCTACTGAGAATAAAACTAAACAGGCTTATGATAAGAAATACAGATATCGCATGTATTTACAAATATCATAGACACACAAATTTGGTCAAATACTGTAAAGAAAGAAGTGGTTTCACATTATAATGGCGAAAACATCCATCTACCTTGCTCAAAGCAAACAAAAATAAAAACTCAGTATGTAACTCCTGTAGTTTAAGACATCATGACAGTATACAAATAGATAAAATGGAAACTGTTGACCAAATTATACAACAAGTGTTTTCTAGGCTGAGTGTAGGTCTTTAAAATCAAGAACTTATAAAGATCATTCATAGATTCAGAGCAACAATGATAATGTCCTGATTTGCGGTATTCATATGGGTGCCTAATTCATCAAAAACAATGCACTGAACTTTTGGCTAATAAGAAAAATAAATTACAAAGTACAGTTAAATTCCTGTAAATGCAATAATGTCAAAAATGTAGATTTATTTACTTTAATTACATATTTTAAATGTTACCTTGAGACAATAAAAATAAATAAGCATGCCTGGAGGCACACACTTAAAGACAACAAGAAGGGGCTGAGTGGAAGGAGTAAGCAACAAGCTCATAAACGAAACGTGAATGTGAGATTTGAGCAACATAATTATCTTTCTAGCCAGTCTTTTTGTCTTAACTCTCCTTGCAAATTCTGGCTAGTAGAATGTGACAAAAGTATACCTGTGTCTTCATGGCTTAAAACAAAGCATACCTGAAAAGTGGAATGGGTTTCCTTTTTTTACAGAACCATTACTTTGTTCATATGCAGGCACTTCAAAAGACTATGGGGACAAAGCACCTGACCCATCCTCTCCAAAAGAGTTTTCAATCATCGCAATTATGCTAAAAAGTAGGAAAATTCCAGAGAACCAGCAAAGTTGAATACAAGAGACTAATGTGCGCAGAGAGCAATAGAGTGACCCCGTTTTTATTGCTGAGGGTCTTTTTTTTAAATCAAAGGGCAAATAATTAATAAACAGACACCATTGTGTGGCACATCCAAAGTTTTCTGCTTAAGGTGAATGTAATCGTTCAGCAGCAGGTTTCAGTGGGATCTCCTTAGACTTCAGCCTCATATGATGCGGTGAGATTCACATTTATTCCTTCTCCTTAGTGTATTTTTCAAAAAACTCCAACATATCTCATTTCTCAAAGTATTCATTTCTTGCTGCCTAACATACATTATTATCTGGAAGCATAAAGTTACATTATACAAATATTTTGCATTTTTAAAAAATAAGCGCTTTTGCCACTTCGACAACACGGTACTTCACTTAGTGGTGCAACAAAAGCAGAGCTCATATTTACCACACTACTTGTGATTCATTTTACCACTACCATCTGCCAGACCCACAGAGCTTTTTCCTCAGTACCTCTGGGCAGTAACTGTACCATGATTTCACAGAGAGAATGCTAATATGACTCATGAATAGCAGTACCGACAGTAACAGTGAAATCAATGCAGATGTCACGCAGATAATGATCTTCTCAAGGGATAACTTCTTTTAAATATTTGGGCAACTGTCTTCTCTGTTGCATTATCCACTGGGGAGAAAATTCCTCTTTGATTATTCTCTTACAGAAGTTATAAAAATCAGATTAGGTATATAACTGGTTGACATTTAAGATACTGTACTGCTTTCTACAACAGGAGGAGAGCTTCTGAACAATGTTCTACAGAACTGTAATTCATCAATACCACCTCATTGGTCCATTCCACTCAATGATGGGCAAAGCACTCATGTTTTGACAAAACTTTAAAGCTTCCATAAAAGTTAAATTAGAAAAAAATACGAATGTAAGACAACCACAAAATGAAGTATGAAAGTATGACATTTTTGTTTCTAACAGTGAGTTCTTGAAAATATATGTGGTCACTACAGAGATGATTTTAATCACAAGACAGCAGATGAACATGTAAGTAACTCCCCATGATCTGTCTGTGTCCAGAGTCATTTGTGGCGCTGTATGGTTTTCCTTTTCCTTCGTTTGAAAAAGCAGCAGCACCTGCAGATGGAGGGAAATACCCCTTTTATTATAAAAATACTAAAATGTTGCAAAGTAAGGCTGAATCTATCATATTAACTTAAATGCCATAGAAAGCCACGGGCTAGTGCAACATAAACAGTGAACATACCAATGAAGCATATATATTAGTGAAACGATGGCAGAGTTGTTACTATCATTTTCATCAGTGTGCCTTTTTAGAATAGCAAGACATTCTATGCAGCATTAAAAGGAGCCACTAAACTGAAAAGGCTCTGCACGAAGACTAACTAAAAAGCCATAAAGTTCTGAACCCCAACTGACCCATCACATTCTATTTTAGATACTAATTTCTGGCAATGGCATGCTGTTATATAAAGTTCATCTTATGTATTTGTTCCCTTTTTTCCTGGTTATTCATATATGATTGTTGAAGTCATTGTTAGAAAGGCAATAATGAGCCTAATTTGGGGATTTTATTTTCATTAAGAATTAGTTTAGATTCCAAAACTAAAAAGATAAATCCCCAAAACACTCTTCAACAAACATTTTCCATCATATTTACGAAGTGGAAGAGAGAAATACATTAAATAGAATAAGAATGCTAAGATTGGCACTTTTAATTCTTCAGAGGTTAAAGAAGGTCAAGCTTATCATAAGTTATTTTAATTAAGGTTAAAATATGCTTAACATTTAAAAGAGCATAATCAAGGTGACTCAGTTTTGCAATTGAAAACTGATTCAGTTTTTGTAGTCTATTTAAGAAATATATGGTTTTTACTCCTAGGTGGAAAAAACGTAGACATGATCCCTGAGAGAACTAGTTTTTCTCACAATAAATTCTCCTAGTCATGAGAAGATGTAACACATGTAGAGCAATGCTGAGGTTGGTATGAACTGAAAGTTAAATGAAAATCACTGATCAGCAACTAACAAAACAAATACACACACATGTATATATATTCTAAAAGTCTAGCATTCCTTCAAATAAAGGTCCGGCCATTTTCCCCTTCCATACCTAAAAGAAAGTCAATCTATCAGAATATCAAGATGACAGGTACCATATATAGAGAGACTCCTTTTTTTTTTTCCCCACTGAAGTCCTTACAAAGATGTTCCTTTAATTCTTACCAGCCCACCTTCATAAAACAATATTCACTCAACATTTTCAAGCTAAGCATAAAATAAAAGAGATCATGGAGCTTCAGGTGTCCTATCCAACAAAAGATCATGGAAGATGAAATAAAGGCTAGATATCATTATTTCTGTGAAATAAATGTAAACAAAAATCCACACTGTCCAGTTAAATTACATACTCTCTCCACTCACATTATCTTTAGTCAAAAATAATTTCAGACCATTTATTGTGATTTATGCCATAATTATGAAATCACTATGGGGCATTCAAAACCAAATTACACAATTGCATTTTTAAATTGCATTCACGCAGTACATAATGACTAGACCATGGAATGTGAATAATTCAAAATTGTATATATCAGCTGATAAAGATTCAACTAGAAATATGTGCCGTTATCAATCTTGACGGGTTTTACTCTTATTGAGGTAACTACCAGAAAGAATGGAAATAAATTACCCAATCAAGGGCCTTAAAAAGAGACACCACTGTAAAAGAAGACTCTAGGCACAATACATTTTTCCTAGACTTAGAGAAGTCAAATTTTTCTGTTAGGTACCTAATACTTTCTCAAATCTGTTATATATATTTTCTAAAATAAAAAAGCAAAACAAAACACTACTAGGAGATAAAAATCATTATTCTAAAAAGAACCTTTCAATTAAAAACTTAGAAAAGAGTTAGAAAATGTCCATATTGTATAAAACAAAATATTAAAAAATTGGTATTTAAAAGAAAGACCAAATAATTAGAATATTAAGTTTAAGAATATGGTCATATATCAATGGAACTTTACTGTTTAATACATATAAAGTTTTATTAACGATGTTCACTGTTCCTAAATAATGTCATTTGTCTTTTCAAATTCCAAAGTATATTCTTTTAAAAAGTTTTCTACTAATAAAGTGTTGTAAGGTATACATAAGCCTTTTGGAATGGGGAATTGAATATAATAGATGTTTTGATGAACAAATTCAAGTCTCAGCTTTACCACACTTGAATTAGCACTTCACTTTGTCTGATTTATTTTTTACCCTTAATCTGCTTTCAGTTCTGAGAGTTGAGTGCTTCCTATTTCCTAGGTAATCTTTTCTTCCATTGTGTAAGTATTGTTGAACACAGAAAACTACTCCAAGCATTTATTTAAGATTAAATAAGATCTTCAAATGCATTATAATTGTAGAGACCTTTTAAAATCAAAAGCAATCTAAAAAAGACATCTATTTTTAAGAAATAAATCCCACAGAAGAGAGTACACCCTTGAAATAGATTTGCCATTTGCCTAAGTAGAGCTGGCATGCTATTAAACTGACTACCACCAGAGGACAGCATTACTTTATGCGATATGAATGCATCCAAGTACAGAGAACAGAGATGCTCTCAAAATATGATATACTTACAGCAGTTAAGAAGGAAATTGATATTAACCTTGTGGCTCACTTCTTAAAAGTCATTATCAAAACAGCTGATTTATAGTCTTAGTGATTAATGAATTAGGTCTCATCTCAATTGCCCTGGGCACTCAGTCTAAAACAGTTTCTCGCATGTGGCCACTCTGACACACGACCGTGCTATTTTCCTCTCAGTACATAGTACGAATCTGAATTTATTTTATTTATTTACTTATTATCTACCTCCACATAGAATGTAAGTTTCCTAAGGTCTTGCTCACAAACACATCCCACAAATGGGCACAAAATTGATACTCGTTTTATACCTATTGAATTAATGAATGATTTGCCTCATAAATGCAACTAACTTCTCGAGTAAGAACCTGGTCAAAATTCTAAAGCATGTTCTAAAGCTAAAGTTCTTACCCTTGGGCCACAGACCCTAGTGAAACCTTACAAAATACAGATTTTAGTGCTCGTGGAAGCTTTTCTGGAGAGAGATGATTTGCACCAAATTATTAAAGGACTGAATCGCAAGAAGCACTGCTTTCTAGATCCAACTGCCAGGTCACCCTCTTGCATCTCCATTTCAAATATGAGGCCTCGTCCTGGATGCAATGAGCTGACCACTGGAGATACTGAGTGGACACCATGTCATCAGTTCACACGAGAGCAGGCAAATGCATAAAAAGAAACCATGTAATTTTAACTTGGTACAGTTGGGGGGCGGGTGGTATTGGAAACAATAACTGCAAATAACAGCACAGATTCCAAGAATCAGCACATAGGGAAGTTTTCACAGATGACGTGAGCAAGTTATTTTATCAATAAATTAAATTATCTGGTCTTAGAAAATAACTCACACCTTTACAATTTTCAAGGATATTTTCTCTCCTTGCTGCTCAGTGGCTACATTTTCTTATCCACTAGTTCATACCTCATGTGGAGTCTCCTCAGATCTAGGCTATTGACAACTACCTTGGGGAAAGAATAAGCTGACCAGATATTTAAATCATGTTCTTGTCAATGATTCTCTTTTTCTTGGCTCTTTCTTGATTATTCCTTGTGTGGTTACAGTGACCAATATGCCCTCACCAAGTCAGGTTCATGCTTCTGACCTGATCATTTTGGTGGCTACCCTAGAAGCTTTGGAGCCACATCTCTAGTCTTAAATCATTTGGGAATAAATGTTAAGTTCTGCTTCTGATGAACATTAAGGCTGTTGCCTGAAATACTGTTTAGGTAGGAAACAAGAAATCATAATGGGTCAATGTCCTAAACTCTGTAGAAAACACAGATGATAATAGCCAAGGTTTTCCTATTGACATCACACCACCATTTCCCATTACTGACTGCCCTTTTCTTCTTGGAGAATATGGCTTGTCTTCCTGGATTTATGTCATATACTTTCTTCTCAAAAGTCTACCCAGAAACTGAAGCATGTTCCTCTGTCTGGATCTGAAGTTTTTGTTTTTTTTTTTAATTTAAAATAAAGTTTCTTCTTGATTTTACATTCTTTTTTTTTTTAACATTTTTACTGCAGTATAATTGCTTTCCAATGGTGTGTAAGTTTCTGCTTTATAACGAAGTGAATCAACTATACATATACATATATCCCCATATCTCCTCCCTCTTGCATCTCCCTCCCACCCTCCCTATCCCACCCCTCTAGGTGGTCACAAAGCACCGAGCTGATCTCCCTGCTTCCCACTAGCTATCTATTTTACATTTGGTAGTATATGTAAGTCCATGCTAGTCTCTCGCTTTGTCCCAGCTTACCCTTCCCCCTCCGCGTGTCCTCAAGTTCATTCTCCCATTCTCTATGTCTGCATCTTTATTCCTGCCCTGCCCCTAGGTTCTTTAGAACCATTTTCTTTTTTTTAAGATTCCATATATATGTGTTAGCATACGGTATTTGTTTTTCTCTTTCTGACTTACTTCACTCTGTATGACAGTCTCTAGGTCTATCCACCTCACTACAAATAACTCAATTTCGTTTCTTTTTATGGCTGAGTAAGAGTCCATTATATATATGTGCCACATTTTTTTCATCCATTCATCTATCAATGGACACTTAGGTTGCTTCCATGTCCTGGCTATTGTAAATAGAGCTGCAATGAACATTGTGGTACATGACTCTTTTTGAATTATGGTTTTCTCAGGGTATATGCCCAGTAGTGGGATTGCTGGGTTGTTCTATTTTTAGTTTTTAAGGAACCTCCATACTGTTCTCCATAGTGGCTGTATCAATGTACATTCCCACCAACAGTGCCAGAGGGTTCCCTTTTCTCCACACCCTCTCTAGCATTTATTGTTTGTAGATTTTTGATGATGGCCATTCTGACTGGTGTGAGGCGATACCTCATTGTAGTACTGATTTGCATTTCTCTAATGATTAGTGATGTTGAGCATCGTTTCATGTGTTTGCTGGCAATTGGTTTATCTTCTTTGGAGAAATGTCTATTTAGATTTTCTGCTCATTTTTGGATTGG